ATCAGATGCCATCCGTGTAATAGCAACTGGCTCAGAGCAACAACAGTACATTTGGACCATTTGCACACCTGGGTTCACACCCACCCGGTGGCCTTACCCACGCAGTTGCAAATGTCCTACAACAATGGTTGTCTATGAGAAGGGTTAATTAAACCTGTTAAAGTGGGTCTGGAGCCTAGACTCTGGTGCCATGTTCCACAGAATGGACAGCATGAAACAGCAAATGAAGAATTCTGAGGTTCACTCACAAGCAGCCAACAGCCATCACTTGGAATGGTCCGTGTAGAACTGAGACTCTTCTGAACCAGGGATATCTGAGCAGTCTTTCCATGATCACAGGGAGCACACCTACAAGTCAATCCAAAAAATATCAAAGTTATCAATAACCTTAAGAGAGGCTAGGTCTTACTTTCCTCTACTTTCCAACACCCGGATTTTCAAAGGATCTTGTACAGTGTAAGTCAAAGATCCTCAGTTGATGTACTATGATTCATGGTTACTTTCTGGAACATCGTGTATATTACAAAGAAGTTGACATTTCCAATTGAAGTCAAATGGGTTACAACTTATTCACCTGGGCTTGTTAGCACTTTATCATTTGTGCAAAAGATTTTGGAATTCCTGGGCTTACACATTCCAGGAGCTGCCATGATGATCCGAGATGTGACGACCTGTGTTATGCCTTTCCTTGCTGCTTTCTGTTAAAACCACAATGTGAAGGAAAACACAGGAAACATTTCACAAATTCATTTATCTTATTGGCCTCTGCTGGCTTTAAAAAAGTTACAGTCAGGACAATTACATAAACTTGAAATTTACAGAATTTAATCACAAAAATTTGGCCAGTCAAGTGCATGAGATGCTCAACAAACAAAACAGTGTGATTGCTGAATAACATTTTCCTTATAATTGGTGCAATCTTGTCAGAATTTCAAGCGGTTTTTGGACATGAATTTCCAAGGCTGCTTATTGCTTTCAAGTAATTCCCTTTTTTCCTTTTCAGATGCTCCTATTGAGGGCGTATTTCTAATGCAGACATCTGGAGATATTTATTGGTAGCACCAGCAATTTCATATGCAAACACAAGTTATTTCCACAGCCGTTTACAGTTACCTATGCTTGTAAACGTTCATTCTAGATAGGAAAACTGGCATTGCTTTACGTTTCAAATGGTGCATTCCAAAAGGAGTAAATTATCTGACTTTTGATAGGAAAAACATCTTGCCCGGAGAGAGATGAATGCTAATATACATGTGACAAACAAATAGAAATGATTACAACTGGGTAAGATTTGTCTGTTGGAAAGTTTCAATTCTTAGCGTAACTATGACTCTTACTTTTGATTTGCCAAGTTCTCTGCCTTTCTCATCACAGACCACAATCCCAGAAACAATTTCCTTCTGCCGCATCATAGGAATATTGACACAGTTGGCTGCTGCTACGGCAGCAAAGGGGACATATCGGGCTATGAGGGGTGGGGATTTCTGAAGAAAAACAAAAGTGTAAATCAATTTATCAAAGAATTCCAAAAGAGGTTATAAAATCTAGAAATTTGAAAACTATTTGTCTTTTCAAGTCCAATGTGCAATAATACATGAAGTTTACATCCACATAATTTTCAAGGGCTTCTTTTCAAATATTATCACGACGATTCACGAAAATTCAAAATAAACGTTTAAATTTTGGGGCCATTAGAAATCTATTGTAAGTCAGTCATGTGATCATATCATGTCACAGCCCTCCAATGAAATACACGTACGGTAGGAGAGAGTTTCACCTAAAAAGCATCTCTACACTGGATTGTTATGGTCAACACCATAGATCTCTCTCATTGGATGTCATCTCTGTAGGATAATGGCAAATATTTATATAACTGTAATGTGCGCGGTGTGCAAAATGATCTAAAATAGCGCATATGCTGATGATCCACATATCTTTGGCACACAGCACAGCGTGATGCGTGTTACGAAATGGAAGTAAAAATTGCTGATGCATGTGGCAACCTGTAGGAAGTGACATCATTTGAGAGAGACCTATTGAAACCAGTTTCTTTATAGAAACACCTGTACCTTTGTGAGTGAGTTGAGACTAAGCGCAGTCACCAAGGCACTACTTGTTGCTGTGACATACGCCAAGCCAATTTCCCTGAAATGAACCACAAATGATATAACTACAAGGCGTCCAAAACCAACTGAACTCTACCATCAACCCTAAACCCCAAATCCCACACCAGGATCTGGGTTCATCTTCATGGGTTCAAGAGCTGAGCAGCATAGAAACTTCCGGTTTTAGTGGAGGCCGATGACCTATAGATTCCCCCATCATTTTTCCACAGTATGGTGGATGTCTTAGGATTCTGGAAAGTTCCTGGCAAAATGAACTGAGGGGGGTTAGAATCAGTAACCATATAACAACAGAACTACATGCAGAATATTCTAACTGATCAAGTTTCTGCTTTTTGTTACTAACTACAAAACTGATGATGGTATCAAACAACTCTACAATGTTTCATCTATGATGCTAACATGTTCACAGTTTCACTTCAGATAATCTGAATGCAAAACTAGGCAACATTCTACAAGGGGTTTCCATTTCCATGGCAATCACAAATCTCATACCATACCGGTTGGTAATGGATGAGGCTGCGTTCCTATTGGTGTAGTTGACAAGTGCGTTGAATGACTGGTTAATCCACTGCCAAAATACCACAGCAGGCATTGTTCTGTCAATGAAGGAATCAAGAGTCACAGTTTAAGTCAGAAGCGTGTATGTTTGGATGTCTTCTGGAAACCCTGGAGACCACATCAGACACCATAAAGCCACATAAGAGCATATTCTTCAGCAACCTGAATGACCCATTTGTCACATCAAGGCAAATTTCAATGTCCAATTTTCAAATGTAGTCTAAAGTCCCCACGGGAGCCACAGAGATACGAAGAAATAAAAAACACAAAAAATGTAATACATTCTCTTCTAAGCCATTCAAGATAAAAATTTAAAAAAGACTGTCCGATCGAAAGTGATGACAAGAAAAACAAAAAAGACACAAAAGTCCAATCTCACAACAGATGAAGAGCCATGGCCATTATCTTGAGTCTACTTACTTGTACCATTGTAGCATCGCTCCTGTGATGGCCATACCACCTGGTACTTGAAAGGACATCTTGCCTATAAGATTCATCTTCTCCCCAGAGTCTGGGTGAAAAGCCGACATGTACAGCTTCTGAGCGTACCAAAGCTGTTCCTCTGTTGTACCTGGGGGTTCTAGACCCACCCTGGGGAGAAAGTAAGCAATGTGGACATGAGTGTGGAGTCCGTGCACTAGGTCTGAGTATCTGAGTCCTGTTGGTGGCAGTGTTTACGATTTGTGCTTCAATGTAATTGTAATGCAATGCACCTGTCAATCTGGGTTTCAACTTTGTTTTTCACAGAAAGTGATCATGTGGGGCACAGTTACAAAGACAGTGATGTTGGAAAACAACCAACATTAAGAGATAGCAAGGCCCTACCTTTCCCGTATACTTATGTCATATATGAAAACTTTTTATTTGCCAATGTCAGTGACTTTAGTTTCACATTATACACACAAAAGGGAGGTTACAAAGATTTCATTCTGTTACCCTGGCAACACAGAACTTTACCTGATCCTTAAAATGATGCAGTCCAAATTTCAAGAGAAATCTGTTCAGTAGAAGAACACTTTCAATGAAGAAATTCTGACTTATTACCATCGTATGATACTTGACAGCACAGGATACATTGTGAAAAGCCCTGCCAATATGTTAGTTTGTCACCAACGGAATTACCCCAAAGCAAAACATATATGCTTTCCACTAACAGCACAGCATTGTGGCTCGTATGCAAGCCTGCAGCTCCAAAAAGTTCCCTTGGGATTTCTGGAAGCTGAAAGCAGAGAATTGTGTGTAATCAGAGCCATGAGATGGAATCTACAGATGAGTAAAATTAAAAGAGGACAGAAAAGAAGCTACTACAACAAAGCAGGACACAGCCAAGGTGAGCTAAGCAAAGATCAGAGCAGTAAAACAAAGGAGCTTGACCAGGCTTGATACAGGAGGAAAATAGAACGTGGATCCGTGTAAAACTTGAGGCGCACTTACTTGTAGTCATTGATCAAGTCCCTTGCAGCATACAGTTGTTTGTCACTGCAAATCACTGTTCTTGGATCGGTGACATTGAAGAAGTGTTTCAACCTGCCCACAAAGGTAGTCTGGTCCCAACGAGGCTGGGAGAGGTCTAATCTTGGACCCATACCAGTAGAGGCAACTACACTGTCTTGAGTTGCCAGGGTCTGTGCCATGTTTCACTGTTTCTTTTAAATCTAATGGGAAAAATACAAATTTAATTTAGACAACAATTTCCTGAATCTGACATTATTTATAGGTGTACATGGGCGGGCTGTCATGGAGTAAATCTTACTCTCACTCAGTGAAAAGCTTTATTTCCAGGGCAAGGTTCTTTTAAGATTCATATTTCCCCCATAGCCTCAAATCCAGAGGGTAGGGATTAAGGATTAGACCGTTCCCCATATTTATACTCTGTGCATAATGATTAAAAAGGCAGTGAACTTATTCATTCTGGATTATGCTTATTTCTGTTTCAAGTTGTAACTAGGTTTTTTCGTGCCTTTGTGGAAAGGTGAAATAATCAGCAAGCAAAATTGGCCGCTGGGAACTTGTAAAATTTAAAACAGATGCAACAAAATAGAGAATAACTTTCAGTCAAGTATTTCAAAAAAGCAAGGTCATTCTTAGCCCCGCTAGTGTGGCACGGCCTCTCACTCCCGATCCATCCTTAGCCACACATCCGTATACGCAATTTCGTGTCGGCGTACTGAAAATTTTCAACGCAGGCACTTATCATTGTGGGCGCAATTTCTTTTGGACACAGAGATGATCCTTAGCCTCTCCACTTTCTTAATGCCATTTATTGAATGATTTCACTCACGTTGTTCTGGCACTTTCAAGTCTTTTTGCCTTCACCCATTCAATCTCACAGGCTTGCTCTCACAGTCGCCATCTTTAAATTAAGTGGGGTTAGGTCATTTTGGAAGAAAGCATGAGCATAAGAGTCTAGTCTACGTAGCCCGGGCCTCCAGGCCTGCTGATACTATAGGCCAGACCTTGCAAGCGCATCTGAATGACCTTGGGCACTCTTCATTGTGGCAAATACTGACAGTGGCCCATTTTGTACAAATGAAAAAATGACGGGAAAACGTCCCTTCCCTAATTCCCTTCCCACCCACCCCATCCCCGGTCACTAGCCCTCCACATGAGAATGTCCCACAAGACAGATGACAGTTTTCTTTAGGCATAGCGTGGCCTTCATACATGTACATGCTTTATCCATGAAGGAAGGAAAATTCCTCCATGCTTTATCATTGCTCTGCAGAGAAACAGATCTCTGCACTTTTTCATCTCTTATTACCAAGAAAACCATCATCACACACTAGGCCCTAGAGCAAATTTACGCAACATGATTTTATTATATCATGGAGGTAGGAAAAGACCTCCATGGTTTTATGCACCAAGTTGACCAACCTTTTCTGTAGATTTTCAACACAACGGAAGGACCTTGCATTCAACTTCCGAAGTCCGTGACACGCACACAAGTTCCCTGTACATGTACATGTGCAATAATATTAGCGAACTTTACACGAGCAGTCTGGCAGTACACAATAAGCCACGGTAATACTCAAATGTCCCTACACTGAGACAGGGATTCAGACAAAACGCTACTGGCAAAAGATGGTACAAAATTCCTACGGACCGAAAAATTATGTCAACAAACCGCAAAGAAAGCGTATTGAGTGCTTTTTAAAACCAGTGTTTTACTTTGATTATTGTATATAATTAATCATTTTGAGGTTGAGGATAAGTTTTATGGCTCATGTATTATCTTTCATTGTTTAATAGAAAGTTCCGAAAGAATCGTGGGAAAACAGCTGTACATGCAAACCTAGTGACGTCACATACACATAGTTACATACAGCGTGTGGCGCGTATCCCTAGTCCATGCATAGAGCAAGGAACAGTCAGGAATCTCTCTCTAAATATTACACGTTAGAAGATTCATTTGATCGTAATGGTGAGCATTTAAATTAATTTTCGATTATTTTATGGATTTTACAAATTTTGATAACCGTTGCTAAGTACCACGTTTCCCCTATCGTCACATCATGAGTTAAGTCTTTGCTTGGCATGACATAGCCCCACTACTGGCACTAGTGTGGCACGGACTCTCTCCAGATCCATCCTTGATCCATCCTTAAGGATGGATCGGGAGTGAGAGTCCGTGCCACACTAGTGGGGCTTAGCATGACAATGACAGTCTAGTACATGTAAGTAGTGTGTAGCCCATGGCATGGAGCTATAAAAAAGGACGACAATGTACGAGTTCATAATCATTCATAGTCAGGTAGGCCTAACGTTACACAGGTGTCTTGCTAGCCTTCTGCCTGGTACATAGGCCTACTCCCAGATTTGTCCCACACAGTTCCAAATTTTCATTGCTTTGGAACGCTATGCCATGGGATTCTGACACAATTGCAGAATACCCCGCCACTCACCTTACCCACTTTGTACGTAGCCACGGATACAGAGTCACGCTTCCATCCACAAGGCCCACTTCATATCCCTGTATTCGCGTAGCCATTCCCTAGGACCCACATTGGACTTACAAATTCTTCCGCTCCCCCATTCACTTTGCGTTG